GTCCTTGTGATTGGAGACTGGAATGCCAAAGTTGGCTCTCTGTAAAAATCCAGCTAGTGAGGGCCACATCTAGGGATGCAGAATTGAAAATTTTAGACTTGCTTTTGCTAAATGTATTTTCAGGTATACTTAACATGTAATATTTTTGTAGTTTTGCACTTACTCTTGCTATGTTTCCCTTTGCATAGGAAACAACATTTTTCCAATCATTAGGTACAGGTACAGTCTTTATATGCATGTTAAGTAAGCTGCACAGCCCATAAATATACCATATCCATATTTTAATATTGTTCCAGTTATATCATCTAACTTGCAACATTATCATTTTTCAACATTCTTACAGCATTACTTCCCTTTCATCATTTTCTTCCTTGAACTTTAACATTTATAACATTCATTTCAGTCCCACTCTTTTACATATTACAAATGCAAATCTCTAAAATACTCTTTACAGTATTTCCCTCACTTCAATTTTATCTTCATCGGTTTTACTTTTAATTCCACTCACTCTGCTACAGTGAAGCTCCTTTTTAAGCCCTCCATTTTCAAAACAGAATATGAATGATCAAATAATCAAAGATCGTCCGGTTTTAATTCAGTTCATTCTTGCTGTTAAGCTTATTTATAATTCTAGAAATAAAATATTCATTCTTAATGAATAAGGCTTCTCTCATCAGCAAAATCTGGGCTAACATGATACATGTTCTCCATATCTTGAGTTGCTTGAGCATTACTAAAATTGGATTATTGCCAAGCAATTCAGGGGATATTTATAGATTCATACCCTGTTATAGTTGTGCTCATGCGTATCTTCCAGTTCTCCATTGCTTGTCACAGAAATCTCTGCTGCTGAAGTTTTGGGGGACTCCTGAGCCATTGAGCACTCCTACAATATGAAAAAAGTGCATTAGCTTTCCCTAAACATAATCAATATTCAGCTTTTGGACATAAGCTTTTTCCTGGCAGGTGGGGCAGATGTGGAGGAAATCTTGCTATGTCCTAGGGGTATCTTCAAACCCTTATGTAATGGTTTTATGAAACATACGCTATTACTGTTTTGTTTTTGTACCTCTGAGTCAGTGTTGACTCCTGGTTACTGCCTGGACTAGTCCTTGCTGGTTTTTTGGCAAGGTTTTTCAGAAGTGGTTTCCCATTGCTTCTTCCTAGGGCTGAGAGAGAGTGACTAGCCCAGGGCCACCTAGCTGGCTTCATGCCTAAGGTGGGACTAGATCTCCCAGTCTTCCGTTTTCTAGCTGGGTGCCTTAACCACTACACCACATTGGCTCTCTGTTACTATATTACTGGAATCCAAATAGACAACTATGCATCTGGAATCTAAATAGACAACTATGCATCCATTGTCCAGCTTCCCCACCACAACAGTATACAGTAAAGTAACTGCTAGCATACATAGAATGACTTCTGTCATTTAATCACAATATAAAATTACAGTTCTAGCACAGTAATTATGAATAAATGATGCTGAAAGAATGTAAGTGAATCACTCCATGTATAAGTATTAATGCTAATAATCATATCTGATCATGCAAAATAGACAGTCTCAATGGCACATGAAACTGTATTGCCCAATTTCTCCCTTGAAACTTATAGAGGACTAAAAGACAATCACTACAGTTCTCTTGTATCTCATGTGAACCTTAGGATGCCTGTAATGAACCCAACTACCAGCCTCCCTCATCATTAGCTGTTCTGACTGGTGCTGCTAAAAAATGTGTATTAGAAACATCAGGAGGGCTACAGCTTCTCAGTTTTAAACAAATAATGTTTACTATGAATGTTGCCTCACTGTGTTTGTGATGATGTTCACTGGTATGAGTGAAGAATTCTGGGAGTATACACCAAGAGTATATACTCTTGTGATCCCAGCAGGATCACCCAAGGCATGAAAGTCATCCTAGGTATGCAGCTAAAGCAAGCAGGCATCTGTACTAGACATCATCATCATCATTTGATACTGAATGGGAGAAAGCAGTGGTAAACCATTCCTGTATTTTACCAAGGAAATTACATACATAGATGAGTTAAAGTAACTGACAATATAGTGCCAGATGACTGGCCTCTCTGTTGGATGGTACTTAACATGCTACTGAGGAAGAGTCATTCTTTAGGAGTTAACAATGGCTTATTAGTAATCCGACACAGCTAGACTAAAGCCTTTGGGATGTTTAGCTGCCATGCAGGATAAGAAAATCTGAAACTGCAAAGACAGAATTATAGTGGGAAGAAGTAACATTACTGTAGAAGCATGAACATGAGAACACTCAACACAGTTGAAAAGTATCAATTATACAGTGACATCTTAAGCAGTGAATTGAATCAGAATGGAATTAGTCACCTTCAGGCAGAAGTTCATACAGTTTACTACTCAGGACATGAACAACAAAAATGAAACAGCATTGTTTTCATAGTCAGGCAGAATATAGCAAGATAATACTTGGCCACAATGCAGTCAATGACCAATAATATGAACTAGATTGTGCACACAACTCTTTAGTATATGCTCCAACAACTGATAGAGAAGAGGAGGTTGATAAGTTTTGTGGTCAAGTTCAATCTGAAATCAACAGACCATGCAATCAAGAAGTGGTCCTTGTGATTGGAGACTGGAATGCCAAAGTTGGAAATAGTAGGGAGGAAAATGTAGCTGGATTGTATGGCCTAGGAAACAGAAATGAAGCCAATTCAATTATTTCTTCATTGCTAATGTATTATTCAAGCAACCAAAATGACGCCTACATACACTGACATAACCAGATGAAGTACACAGAAATCAAACTGACAATAATATTGATACAAGGAAGTAGAAAAACTGCTATATCAGCAAAGACATGGCCAGGGGCTGATTGTGGAATACATCATCAACTAATCATGTGCAAGTTCCAAGTCAAGCTAAAGCAGAAAAAAACCAACTAGTTTCTACTATATGATCTTAAATGTATACAGTACACAACATTTTGAAGGACCCCATCAGGAATCACTCTGAAGTCCTGAAATTCACTGATAGGGAACTAGAGGAACTACGGAATGAAATCAAAGTTGTTAAGGATGAATATGAAAAGAGATTGCAAAAGACTAAGAAATAGAAGAAAGCAAATTGAATATCAGAACAAATTGTGATAATTGCCAAGAAGAGAAGAGAAACCAAAACCAAGAAAGATAAAAATCTCAGGAAGGATTTTAACAAAGAATTTTAGAGAGCAGTTAGAAGAGAAAAAATAGTATAACAACATCTGTAAAGACACTGAATATGGAAACAGGAAAGCTTTCCAGAAGACTGCTGAACTCAGGAAGAGTTTTCAATTTCAAATTGGTATTCTAAAGGACATCAATGGACAGAAGGTAATGGATTCAAGTAAGATGAAATGAAGATGGAAGGAGTGTATTGAAATTCTATACAGTAGATATGTTAACATTCAAGATACCTTAGAAGAGAGTTTCCCAAACTGTGAAGTGTACCTCTCTTGGAGAAGTGCAGACACGGTCCAGGGGAGGTGTGAAGAACCTTTTAATACATTATTATAATAAATCCATGTTTCCCAAAATTTCGTTGTATTGTTTTCATTGTTCATTTGCATTCATTTTGGTGTTTGGATTTTTAGGGGAGATATATACATTACAGTTACACTAAAGGGAGGTGTGATGGTAAAAAGTTTAGGAACCCCGCCTTAGAAGATATTCTCTACTTATGGGAACCTATAGTTCCAGAAGATGAAGTTAGATGAACACTCCAGTCATTATTTATTTATTTATTAGATTTGTATCCCCCCCCCCATCTTAGAGCATCTGGGCAGCTCACAAACAATAATTACTAAAGGCTACAGAAATACGGCAACCAACAGAAGAATCAGTCAAGGTTCTAACCAAACTATGCTAGCAAATCTGGAGAATGAGAGTCCGGCCAACTGATTAGAAGAGGTCAGTCTACAAATCAATGCCAAAGAAAGTAACTTAACAGAATGTGCAAACTATCATACAATATCTTTAATTTCACATGCTAGCAAAATAATACTTAGTATCCTCCAATGGAGATTAGACCCATAGATGAAAAGATAGATATTGGATGTTCAAGATGGTTTTAGAAAAGGCTAAGGAACAAGAGACAATATTGCTGATGCACACTAGATAATTGAGAAAGTCAAAGAATACAAAAAAAAAAAAAAAAGGTCAATATGTCCTTCATTGATTACAGAAAGGCTTTCAATTATGTTGACCAAGCTGTGGAATATCCTTATGAAAATGAGAATCCCAGAACACCTCTCTGTCCTCAAAAAAACCTATACATAGGTCAGGAAGCTACAGGCTGGACAGAACATGGCAAAATAGATTGATTCCAGGTTGGCAAAAGAATGAGACAAGACTGCATACTCAAGCAGCGATGAGCTTTTGGACTGAATGGCCATGGTCTAGTTTGGCCATTTAGACAACAGCCATTCAGCCCGAAACTCATAACTGCTTGATTGATCCCTACTGTGAAAGCCTATACCAGTAAACAGCTACATATTTTCTTCTTATTTGTCCAATCTATATGCTGAATATATATTGAGGAGACTGGATTAGAAGATGAGCAAGGTTTTAAAATTGGAGGAAAAAACATCAATAATCTACTCTATGCTGATGACACTACTCTGATAGTTGAAAATGCAAATAATCTGCAAGTAATGAAAATGTACAGAGTAAGGAAGATGACCTAATGGGACTGACAGAAAATCAAGGAGCACAGTGAAAAAAAAATGGGACCAAGATTAAATATAAAGAAAAGCAAACTAATGACAATAGGTAAGTGGTATACTGCTTCTGTCTTTTTTGTTTAATATGTTCTGTTATATTAATTATAAACCTGTTATTATCCTTGATGTTTCCTTTTGGAATATAAAGGTAGTCCTTGCTTGGCAACCATTCATTCAGTGACCATTCAAAGTTACGATGGTGCTGAACGGGGAGTCTTATGCTGATTCTTGAAGTTGTGGCCATCACAGCATCCCTGCTCTCATGTGATTGCGATTCGGGCACTTGGCAACCAGCGTGCAGTTGGGATGGTTATAGTATCAGTCCCGTGATTGCCATTTGCGACCTCCACTGCCAGCTTCTGAAAAGCAAAGTCAATGGGGAAGCCAGCAAGAAGTTGCAAGTCGTGGTTATGTGATGCCATGCTTAACAACCGCATGTGATCTGCTTAATGACTGCAGCTGGAACTGGAATTACCAGTACCAATTATGGTAGTTAACTGAGGTTACCTGTAACCTGTTTGGTTGTTGCGTATTATATCTGGGATATATTTCTTTAGGCATTCAGTTAGTATTGTTCCAAAAATTTTATAATCTACATTCAACAAAGATATTGGTTTGTATGACTGGTTTCTCCGGGTTATTCCCTGTTTTGTAAATCAAAGCTTTACATGCCTCTTCCCATGTTGGTAGTATTGCATTTGTCTTTTTAATTTCATTTCTTGTGTTTGTCAGTGGTTCCAATAGTTCCTCCTCAAATTCTTTATAATATTGAGCTTCTCCTCAAATTCTTTATAATACTGAGCTATCAGCCCACCTGGACCTGATGCTTTTGCACGTCTGATTTTTTAAAATTGCTTCTTTTGTTTCTTGGATAGTTACAGGTACTTAGTGTTTGTGTATCCTGGTTTTTAAATTCTTTCATAACAGACTTTTCAATGCATTTGTTTACTGCTTCTCTCTTTTAAGACTATCAACATTAAGGAACCAGCACTGAAGAAATATGTCACAGCTTAGCACTTGGTAGGATAGCAATGAAGGCCTCGGAAAAAAATTAAGATGTCATTATGGGTCTATATCTACAAAAATTAGAATTGTGCAGGCAATGGTTTTCCCTGTGCCATTCTATGAAGGCGAAAGCTGGACTCTGAAGGATGAAGAAAATAACTAGAAGCAAGGCTGATGAACTCGATTACAGCAATGATGAATGCATCATTGGAAGACTTCGGGTTCCAGGTTAAGGACAGATCTCCTGGAGAAAGCCTGTCTATGTGGTCACTAAGAGATGATGCCAACTTGATTATACATAATCAATCAAATCATTTCTTGGCAAATCATTTCTTCCTTTACTTAACATATGTTGCTGAGGCAAGTTAACAAGCTCAGCTCTATGACCTTAATTAGTTGATTAGAACCCTCCCTGCTATCTGAAATTGACAAGACCCTAATCAGTTTCACACTAAAGGCTTTCTTTTGCCTCCTAAGCAGCTGGCGGCTCACAGCCCCAAGCCCACTAGGTGAACAGCTGGTGCTAGCACATTCCTTTCAATGTGTATTCCCCACTGTGTGTCTGCTTACTCTCTTGTAATCCCTTCCTCTCTAATGAATGTAAATGTGTACACTAATTCCCTTTTTGCTAATTATCCAGCGCTGGGGTGAGCATTCCAAAGGGCAAGGAAGTGGGAAAAAAGGGCTATAAGATTTGCCCTTTTACCCAGCTTCCTCATGAGTCAAGTTCAGGAAACCCTCCTTGCCATTTGGGCTCACTTGGCTGTTTGGGTTGTATCCTTCTGGCTCTGTAAAGCAAAGCAAAGCTCAAGTAAAATCGTAAGCACTGTCGCAGTCACTTGATTTTTCACTTAGTGACTGTTTGCTTAATGACCAAGTTGCTGGTTCCAATTGTGGTTGCTAAACAAGGACTATCTGTAATTGATTTTCCTGCACATTACAGAGGGTTGAACTAGCTGATGCCCGTGGTACCATCCAACTTCACAATCCAGATGATTTCCAGATGTTTGGTTTAGAATTCCCAGAATTCCCAGCTCATTTTACCTGTATGGAGACCTCTACATACATTCCATGCCTTAACTTGGAATTTTTAAAACCTACAGGATCAAATTGTTATATTTTTTCCCTCTGAAATATGATAATCCCTAATGCAGCTACTATAGATTTGAGATTGCTATCTGGTTATATATGCTAATGAAGTTTGTGGGAGTTTCCAACCCCTTGGTCTTGAAGCTAATAGCAGCTGCACCTAATTCTTAAAAGTGCCACATAAGAACAGAGATCCCCAAGAATGGGATGAAATACCTTATTGTAAGCAGCTTTGATCACATCTTTAGATACCCGTCACTATCTTTTGAGCCTATTCTATTCAGCATTATTTATTTCTTTTGCAATACCTGTAGAATTCTGGAGCTATTCCTTTTATGCAAGTGAAGCTCTGGGCTCCAACTTTCTAGACCTTTTCTTTTAAAAAACACACATGTTCCATTTAAATATATTAAAAGATATGAACACTTGGTTATAAATACAATGCTGTTGAATATTTATTTATTTTATTAATTAAATTTGTCCCCCACCCATCTCCCCCCAATGGGGGACTCTGGGTGGCTCACAACACAT